ATCTTAGTATTTTATTGTTATTTTCTGCACTACCAACTATATGTCATCTCTTACAACTGCTGGGGAATTTATAGGAGTCCTATTAGATTTTTCAAATATGATGCTATTTTAGAAACAAGACAATCATCCTACATGCAGTAAACATACCCTGGGTGTCAAGCATTGTAAAAAGAATGCCACAGGTGAAGGTGACTGTTACCTTAAGAGCAGTGTAACCTGGGCAGAAAAGGACAAGTAGGAAGTAGAAAGTGCTAGGAAAGTAAAATGCTCAGAGATGAAGTCACAGTCACTTTCAGCAGTGAGAACTCGAAGGCCTCCTCAAACAGGTGACATAGGAAGGGAGCACAGGACTAGACAGGCAGAGGTAGGAAGACACATAGGTCCTCAGATACAGGAACAAAGACACAGAGAATATAGTATTTTGTTCAAGCACAGGTGGATAGGTGGGAAATTGAACTAGGAGGAGATTATACAGGGTCTTGAGAAAGGTTTTAAAAACCCATATTTAAATACAGAAAAGGAAGGTGATTTTTTAAAAAACAAGAACATATAACAGTTAAAACAAAAAGCAATAAAGTACCTGAAAAACCTGTTTATTTCACCTATAGGAAACATACTAGCCATTTGTTTAAAAATCTATTTGTTTAAAGATCTTAATGGGTCTTTCCCCAAAATACACTTAAGTGATAAATTTTGTGCTTATGATAGAGTTAAGAATGAATAACTAGCCAGGCTGTGGTGGCCAATGCCTTTAAATCCCAGCACTTGGGAGGCAGAAGCAGGCAGATCTCTCTGAGTTCAAGGACAGCCTGGTCTATGGAGTGAGTTCCAGGATAGCCAGGGCTACACGAAGAAATCTCATCTTGGAAAAAAATGAATAATTATGCCTCAATTTAAATTATATGAGAGAAAAAGGTAACGCTCCTTTTAAATCCACTGATGGCTACTATTGGATTCCTAAGAAGCTGGACTGATACTACCATATAATAAGAGCCGTTAGACTTAACAAAAACAAAATGCAAACTAGGATGCCCTGTTGGTGTGCTACAGCATTCTGCCAAAAGGCAACTTAGGGGAGGAAAAAGGATTCCTTGGTTTAGACTCCCAGGTGACAATCCATTATTGTGGGAAGTCAGGGCAAGAACTCAAACAAACCACACAGGAAAGCTGCCTACTCCTCACTCCCTAGAACAATTCCAGGCTCAGGCCCAGCGAGCTTTCTTATACATTACAGCTCAATCCCTCATGTCTAGAGATAGATGGTGCAGTCCATAGTAGGCTGGGTCGTCCTACATCAACCATCAATCAAGAGTCACTCACAGACACAGTCACAGGCTGCCTTAGATACTGTTATATTGCTGTGAAGAGACACAACAACCAAGGCAACTCCTATAAAAGAAAGCATTTAATTGGAAGCTTGCCTATAGTTTTAGAGGGC